TAAAGAAAGACTCAGCCGTTTATAAGACCTGCTTTGCAGTTTCAATTACGTTTCAATTACAAAACACGAGGTATTGGTTGCATAGTTTTCTTTGTTTCGGTGGTTTCATTTCATCCTTTTTTAGACAATTTGTATATGATGATTTTATGTCCCGTTGAAGATGGGGTCCATTTTGATTTTTCAATATGCTAGTTGCTTAATTCAATCTTTATAATAAAAAGGTCTTTCATAGATCTGTTTGGAGATTCTTAAAAAGTAATAATGAATTGATAATACATACAATAACCCACAAAAAAGAGGCACTGTCGGTGGTGGATCGGAGCCATGTTCCATACCTAAAGATGAAAAAATATGCCAATTGTGAATTGCCCACCTAACCACTCCAAAGCAAAGGAACTTTGTTCTAGATTTTTCATATTTTAGTAGGAAGAAAAGAAATACTTCAAAGAATCAAATTTAAATATATAATTTAAATCAACAACTTAAATAATTTAGTAGTAATTTTCTTCCATTGAAAGTAAAAAGTTTTGAATTTGAGTCACATAACATGTAGGTAAGGTGGGGTAGAATAAAAAATGAAAGAGAATTGTCTCTCATTGTGCAATCAATCATCAAAATATATATATAATTTAAAAACAGATAAAAATGAGTAGATATAAAATTTTTTTATATACATTTTTGTTTTATCTGTAAAATTATTTATTTAGATTATTAATACCAAGGAATTTTGAAATTGACTTAGACTAATAAATTAAAAAATAAATTAAGCCACTATACTTGAAGTATAAAATTTTTTATAATTTTTAAGTACAAAATAATGTAATGTAGTGATCCAATCTTTCACCTCATTTCACTCCTTCAATCTTATTCTCCCTAAAATTACTCTTAATTATCATCAATTACTCGTGAATCATTAAAGATATTTTCATTTTATATGTAGGGTTAGAAACTAAAATTATTTGGTCAAATAATTCTTTTGTAATTTGATATGAAATGCGTATTATATTCATAAAATCGGCTAACATATATATGTAAGGCCGAGTTTCGTTTTCTAAGTTATGGAATGATATTGTCATAACTTGGCAAGTTCCCCCACACCTAAATGGTCCATGCCAGTCCTAAGGGTGGTTGTGCTCGATCATCTTTGCTTGGTGCTCGATCTGTGTTTTAATTTGCCCGTAAAAATGGGGTTTGGGACCCCAAAATGACTCATTAACCAAAACCTTGAGATAGCGGCAATGCCAATCCAATTTTACCACCATTCATAATTTCATATTCCATCAATTAACCTAACTTCGCAACTCACAAGCCACCTTGGATAAGGACAATTCTAGTTTAGTGCTGGCACTGTTTAAAAAGTACTATATATTTAAGACAATATATAGTTCCCTAGTCAAACTCTTGAAAGCAGTACTTTTCAGTTGGAGATTTTAGCAAAAAAATGTAAGATAAGAATATGAATTTTATCATTTTTTTAATTTAAAAATATAAATTTTATTAGTTTATAAATAAGATAATAAATTTTTAATATTTTTTATTTAAAAATATTAATTTTATATTTTTTAATTTAAGAATTAATTGGATTATTAAAAAAGTTATTTGTTATATCAATATCTCCATTCAATAATTCTTAAATTAAAAAATGTGAAGTTGACACCTTTAAAATAAAAAAAAACACAATATTAACATTTTTAAATAAAAAAAATAAAAATTTATCATTTTATTTAATAACTAATAAAATTGTTATCCTTAAATATAAAAAAAGAAATGAAATTTATATTCTTATTTACATATTTTTCTCATTTTTACCAGCTACCAATTTCTCCCATTAAGGAGGTTTAAAGACCTCAATATTTGGTGATGCAGGATCCACTCAAGTCTTAGATCATTCGTAGAGCTAGGGACTAATTCCTTCTTAGGTGCACACAATTTGATCCAAAAACCATTTTGATTATCTAAAATCAAAAGAGAAACAGTTCTTACAATCAATTTTTATTTCTAACAAGATTGAGTATGCAACTCAGAAACCCCAATCAATTTGTGACATGCATTCTCCCCCAATCTAAAGTGACATGCAAGTTTGAATCTCTCCTCCTATAATATCAAAATTCAGTTTGAAAATAAAACAGATTCGGTAACATACATGCTGCCATGCATGTAGCTACAAAGTGACCTCTTTGGAATAAAAAATGAAAAATGAAAATACTAAGATATAATTAGTGGAGGAACAAATGTAATTACGACTGATAAAAAAGAAAGACATGAAATATGAAAACGATGTTTTTGTTTTTGGGTAGGACAGATGTATCATCTCTATTGTAAGATTTGGAAGGGGGTGGTGCAGCTAGATTGACATCTAGGGATTGTGATAATGGTTTAGTTAGTTATATGTCACAATTAATTAAAGTACACAATTTATTGCTGGAACTGGATATCACAGATTAATTAGGTATACATACATGCATGTGAAAGCAAAACAGTAGGGGATATTTTGCACCGAAAGAACTGAACCAGAAAAAGGATTGGTGCCTAATTGGGTGCTTTCATTAAAAAAAAAAAAATCTAATAATGGAATATAGAAAAGGAGATGCATGACCATTTTCTTTTTTCAAATTTTTTCTCATTAAACTCAAGTTTTAAACCAAAAATTTCTAATTTAAAATTTCGAAATCTTAACTACCTGAACCATTTCATTGGGTAGAACTTAATTAGGTGCTACCTAGGCATTTTTCTTCTCTTGATCATTTTGAAAAATAAAATTAAAATTAAAAAGAAAATCCGAGATTTTAGCAAAAACTCACTTTTAGCCCCT